TCCGAATGTTCTGTATCGTAGCTAAATAGTAACTTCTCCACGATGCTTTAAACTGTTTTCGTCATGGATTATTATCTGTCCGTATTCGCTTGTTACTATCGTTTTGTAATCCGATTTCTTTTCACCTCACTAAGATGTGGTAGATGCAGGCTTATACATATACAAGACAAAAAGACAGACCTCAGTAACTCAACCAAGTCCTTACGATGAAAAAAAGCCCTGTGAGACAACGGCTAACACGATGGCATCGGATTGACCAAATTGTTCGCGTAATATAAAAAATAAACCGTTTTTCATCCGCTTGGCTTGTTTCGTACTGAGAAGTAGTCGTTACTACCACCATTTTATAGGGGTACAGTAAAACAACTAATTACACGAGTTTCAGATTTTGTGTGTACAAAACTAGCTGAAACATGTAAATAGTTTTTGAGGAAAAGGTATTGTTTTTGAGGAAAGTTTATTGAGGGAAGTAACCATTTTTTTTACCAAAGCCGGCACAGATCGCAGTTTATCAGTGCTGCATGTTGCTAGTCATATATACCATAGTTTTGCTGCTTGCGAAACGCATAGATTCAGCAGCATTTAAAAGAAAGGCAATCGTCAACAGAGAATGCGGAAGAAATGAATGGCACCAAGAGAAAAAAATTTCACCAGCTAGCAAAGAGGCTGCCGTAGCCGAAGAGGACCATCGTTGAACCCATTTGTTCTTGGCGTAAAGAATATTCGAGGCTGGCTTTTTTCTCAGATGTCAGTCACCAAACAACGTGAGTTCGAAGTCGTCATGTGAAAAACTACGAAAATAGCGACGAGGCAAGCAGCAGCTGCGGAGGTAGTCGATGTTCGTGATTAGGTGTTTAGTGAACAAAAGAATGCATTGCCGTGTCACGCAGATCGGGGAATGTTCAACAATTCAAGTTTTTACTGCCGTAGTAATACACGTCATCGTACACACTAGTTTCAGACCAATAACTCGAATGGTACAACGACATTAGACCAGAGTTTCTAGGCCTCAGACAACGTGTATTATGACATATCCACTTTCCGGTATCACAAGTCAATTATCACACAAAACCTCCGCTCTTCTTATCCATTAGTCATGATTCAGACAGTGACGATAGAGGAAACCATGTGATCATGCATTCTTTGAGGATTAACACAAATTAGGGTCCGAAATCATTCTGTTCAGGTTGATAATCAGCGTATGTTTCTCCTATACACAACTGCTTTTAAAGACGTAATAAATTTTGTCCGTTACAGAACCACAGCTTAAAGCGCTGAGGGATTCCACAACTATAAGTCAGTTCGACGGATGACTGTCCCAGTACCTTTTCTGAAATGTCACAAGAATCATTTCTGAAACTCATTTCATTTACGTGCTGTGTTTCAATAAACTGGCATTTCAGCGGTTCTGGACACAATGAACTAGACAGATTGCAGTCTTTGCTGGATCTACATGGCATTTCTATTACAGAAGTTCCCAACAGAAGCATTGAAGACTTCTTGAAACATCTGTTCCACCTAAAAAAAGTATATTCTGTGCGTATTAAATAAATCTTGGCTGTCCCAAGATTTTCAATCAAACCAAACTGGATAAACGGCAGGAATTCCCATGCTAGTCCACAGTCAACGACTATAGACAACGATTAAAGAAAAACGAACGTGGATAAAGCTACTAAAATGCCAAAATGCAGAGATTATGTCTCGACGTAGATGGCAGCCCGACGATCCTCGAAACCTTTGGAATCGAGCCTTTACGTCACACGATTGAGAAGTCGCAACTACGGCGGAATGGACATGTAGTCTTGTAAAAGCCGCCTGACAAAAAACAAGTAACTAGTCCTTGAGCAACCGAAAGACAGAGGACCCCCAATCACCTCCACAGTAACTTGATGTTAGTACTCATCGAACATCATATTAAAATGTTGTTGCAAATAAGGAGAGATTTAACCTCATTAATAAATGATCCCAGAAACGATTTTCTTGAACAACATTATAACCTGTATCGGGAATAAATCATATTCACGATGACAGTGGCCCATAGCAATTCCAATTTCATAGAGCTTTCTAGACGCTCTGACGAAAAAAAAGAACCACTACATCACTGAAGTATTTTTCACAGGCCAACACATACAATGAACTCTCAGCCGTTCGATTTAAACGACGACACCGGGTGAAGAACGGTATCGATAACAGATTCTTCG